AAGCGTGCATAGAGTTGTATCGGTGGTCGATAAAACTTGAAGGAATATTTGTTCTGCCTTTAGCTCCTCGTTGGGTTCGACACTCTTACTTATCGAAAACTGTTGCGATCCCCTATACTTGTGGGTTATCAATCGTCATCATCAACCATCCTCCATCACCAATTTCATGATGCTCGCCGCCGTACGTGAGTAATTCCATCGTAGGCTTGCTGGACGGTGATGGGTTGGATGAGATCTATCATGTAATCGAGTTAGTTTTGTTAGGGTTTGATCCAATCCCTAGTATCCACTATGTTCTGAGATTGGTGTTGCTATGACATTGCTATGCTTAATGCTTGTCACTAGGGCCCGAGTGCCATGATTTCAGATCTGAACCTATTATGTTTTCATCAATATATGAGAGTTCTTGATCCTATCTTGCAAGTTTATAGTCACCTATTATGTGTTATGATCCGTTAACCCTGAAGTGACAATAATCGGGATACTTACCGGTGATGACCGTAGTTTGAGGAGTTCATGTATTCAGTATGTGCTAATGCTTTGTTCTGGTACTCTATTAAAAGGAGGCCTTAATATCCCTTAGTTTCCATTAGGACCTCGCTGCCACGGGAGGGTAGGACAAAAGATGTCATGCAAATTCTTTTCCATAAGAACGTATGACTATATTCGGAATACATGCCTACATTACATTGATGAATTGGAGTGTGTCACCCTATGTTATGATTGTTACATGATGAATCGTATCCGACATAATTCTCCATCACTGATCCATTGCCTATGAGCTTTCCATATATTGTTCTTCGCTTATTTACTTTTCCGTTGCTGTTCCTATCATCATTACAAAATACCAAAAACATTACTTTTGCTACTGTTACCTTTTGCTACCGTTAGCACTACTATCATATTACTTTGCTACTAAATACTTTGCTGCAGATATTAAGTTTCCAGGTGTGGTTGAATTGACAACTCAGCTGCTAATACTTGAGAATATTCTTTGGCTCCCCTTGTGTCGAATCAATAAATTTGGGTTGAATACTCTACCCTCGAACACTGTTGCGATCCCCTATACTTGTGGGTTATCACATTACCCATTCCGTTAGCTTAGCACTCGATCGTTTAGTTTACTGCTATTGCTTTCTTCATGACTTATACATGTTCCTATGACTATGAGATTATGCAACTCCCGATTACCGGAAGAACACTTTGTGTGCTACCAAACGTCACAAGTAACTGGGTGTTTATAAAGGTTCTTTACAGGTGTCTCCGATGGTGTTCGTTGAGTTGGCATAGATCGAGAATAGGACTTGTCACTCCGATTGTCGGAGAGGTATCTCTGGGCCCTCTCGGTAATGCACATCACTATAAGTCTTCCAAGCAATGTGACTAATGAGTTAGTCACGGGATGATGCATTACGGAACGAGTAAAGAGACTTGGCGGTAACGAGATTTAACTAGGTATTGAGATACCGACGATCGAATCTCGGGCAAGTAAAATACCGATGACGAAGGGAACAACGTATGTTATGTGGTTTGACTGATAAAGATCTTCGTAGAATATGTAGGAACCAATATGAGCATCCAGGTTCCGCTATTGGTTATTGACCAGAGACGTGTCTCGGTCATGTCTACATAGTTCTCGAACCCGTAGGGTCCGGACACTTAAAGTTCTATGACGATCTGTATTATGAGTTTTTGTTTTTTGATGTACCGAAGGTAGTTTGGAGTCTTGGTTATGATCACGGACATGACGAGGTGTCTCGAAATGGCCGAGACGTAAAGATCGATATATTGGACGACTATGTTCGGACACCGGAAGTGTTTCGGGAGGTTTCAGACATATACCGAAGTACCGGGGGGTTACCGGAACCCCCCGGGGAGTATATTGTGCCTAATGGGCCCTAGTGGGAGAAGAGGAGGGGCGGCCAGGGTAGCCGCGCGCCCCCTCCCCCTCTAGTCTGAATTGGACAAGGAGGGGGGTAGCACCCCCCTTTCCTTCTCTCCTTCTCTCCCTCCCTTCCCTTCTGCTACAGCTACTTGGAAAGGGGGAGTCCTCATGGGGCGCGCCAACTCCTCCACTCCTTTATATACGGGGAGGGGGCACCCCTTGAAGACACAACAATTAATCATTGGTCTCTTAGCTGTGTGCGGTGCCTCCCTTCATCATAATCCACCTCGGTCTTATCGTAGCGGTGCTTAGGCGAAGCCCTGCGTCGGTAGTTCATCAACACCGTCACCACGCTGTCGTGCTGACGAAGCTCTTCCCGAAAGCTCTACTGGATCATGAGTTCGCGAGATGTCACCGAGCTGAACACGTGCTGAACGCGGAGGTGCCGTAGGTTCGGTACTGAGGATCGGTCGATTGTGAAGACGTATGACTACATCAACCGCGTTGTCACAACGCTTCCGCTTACGGTCTACAAGGGTACGTAGATGACACTATCCCCTCACGTTGCTATGCATCACCATGATCTTGCGTGTGCGCAGGAATTTTTTGAAATTACTACGTTCCCTAATAGGAGGATCCTCAGCGGAGCCTCCAAGGAGGGGATCGACACCGAAAGGTGTCAGACTTTGATGTGGCCGCCGCGCCGGCCAGAAGTTTCCTCCGGATCCACACCCTCCGACCAGATCCATGGAGACAACATACGGGGAGGACGACCACAACTATCAGGAGCCAGAGCCGGCGCGGATTGGAGTAGATCGGGCGAAGGGCAGAGCAACACCAAGAATTAGCGGTTGGCCAGCGTGGAGCCACCGCCGATGCAGCAATGACCGCAGCCCCTCGCCGCCCGCACACCCGAGGGACGACCCACCTGCACCCATAGTTGGCACTTAAAATTTCCAAATGTTGTAGGCTAGGCTGTGAAAATACAACGTACACCTACTTGCGTTTGCATGCCCTCTCCCCCTCCCTCTCTCTCTCTCTCTCTCTCTCTCTCTCTCTCTCTCTCTCTCGCTCTCTCTCGCTTAATAAGGAATAAACACATTGCAGCCACACCATTCGTACCTCCTTCGGCATAGAGAACCAAGCAATTATCCACTACTCTCAAGGGAAACTGGAGCTTGAAGGTATGCAGGAATCTTCATGTCGATGTCTGAAATGTATCTACCTGATTTCAAGGGGAGAAAAGAAGAAGGAACGTAAGTGGGGGTTGCGGGGCAGAGAACGAAATGAAGTCAAAGGCAACAACATCATTTTGCGAAAGTTTTTGTGATGATTTCCGTAGATGTGTCCAATAATACGTGTTAGGTTTTAGCGAAACCGCATCAGTCCTTGATTTGCAGGGGCATCACCATATCCGGTGCCTCTTTCTTGCGCCACTAATAAAATCCTTTGTATTCATTGATGCCGCCATCGCCTTTGGTGATGATTCTTGCGGTTGTCTAACGAAGGATATCGGCGGAGGAAATCTGTGATCATACAGGTTGTTGGCAGTGACACAAAATAGCCAATAATAAGATGTGTTCATTTCTGCCGAAATGGTCTGACACTGTGGCGGTTTACAAAGAGAAAACATACTGAAAGTAAAAGTCATGGTTTATAAATAAGGAGTTGGAAATGCACATGAAATTTTTAATGTATTATAGTATTCATGCTGACACAGATGTTGAGAGTGTATATGACAGTATCCTCTGAGATATTTTAATGAAAACATATCCGGCGATTCTCTCTTGCGCCGCTAATAGCTCTATTTTCTCCACTGATGTCACCATCGCCTTTTGGTGACGATTCTTGTGGCCGTCTCCAACGGAGGATATCGGTGGAGGATATCATCGCATTAGTGTTTTATGTTCATTATACGAGATCTTAACAGTGACTCATGCTAATATGATGTGCTCATTTGGGATGAAACGGTGTGATTCCTTAACGGTTTACAAGTAGAAAAAAATCAAAAGTAAATGTCACTGTTTGTTGAAACCTATGGAATATGAGATCAGACGAATTTCTCAATAAAGCGTGGAAATGTGGAATGCCCATAATGACCAAACACAGGTTAAATGATCTATGGAGGTGGATCAATCCTTAGCCCACCACCTGTAAGATCATAGTTTCGGTGTCTTTGTGCGTCCCACCAATATGTATGTATTATTCCTTTATCAATGGGAAATGCCATTCCAGTTGATAACAAGTGCCTACAGTAGGACGATGTGTGATTTTGTGAGTGTGTTGGTATGACACCGCGTGTGTGTCCATATTGTACTAACAAAATCACTCCAAGTGGAGAGCTTGCGTTTGGGTTTCTTCAAACCTGCAAAAAGTTGCACCAGACCATTCTTTTGAAGCACAGTCCTAGGAACCTAGAACCTGTCAACCTTTCATTTTGCTTCATCCAAAATTCAATTTTGCAAAATGGCGTTATCCGATACAAGTTTAAATATATGTAATCGGATCAGAAGCTGCACGAGCATTCACAAAACAAACATTCTATTAGAAACACCGAATACAACACAACATAGCAGATACACCACCAGTCCACCAGAGTCGTGGTGCTTTAAGATTGACAAAGCGAGAATAGACGTCTCGCTATCAGCGAAAACATCACCTTCTACTAAATAATATGCCGCCTTTTGAGACAAAACAATATGTATAACTACCCTGCTAACCATTCAATTTCAACCACATATTAGTTTGGAGTGAATAATTTTCTAATGGCCTCTCCAAATCATTACTATACCAAACAAGCTTGATCAAAAGAAGACGAGCAAGTGGCAAGTGATACACAAGGTCCCCGTACATGGCACATCGATAGCATAATACTAGTAGACAAAATAATAATTAACCACAATACACACGCAGCATGTATATCTACATATACATCAATACACCATGTACATATACATAAACACGCATATACGTGCAGGGCACGTACACACATACACAAGGTGGAAAAGTTAACCAGCGGAGATCGATGAGGATGCGACGGTGGCGGCGGCCAGCGCGCACGAGCTAGCTGTGCTTGCTTCTATCGAATGGCTGGACGATCAGCCAGCCAGCAAGCCTAGACATCGATGACGCGGAAGGCGTCGCGGCTCTTGATGACGATGTCGTACATGTGGACGGAGCTGAACTGGCCGAAGTCCTTGGGGAGGGAGATGAGGTCGACGGAGGAGCGCTTGTGGAACCTGAGCATGCAGTCACCGGCGGTGCCGCCCCCACCGGCATAGTAGCGTTCCCAGCCGAGCGTGACGAGCTTGCGCTCCAGCGAGGCGTAGGAGGCGACCACCTCCCCCGTGGGCGTGTGCAGCAGCGCCTTGCGCCGGACCGCCCTGCCGTCGGGAGGTCCCGCCGCCGACGCCGGGTGGTTCTCCACCAGCTTCACCACCCCGTTGCGGAACACCCACACGCCAGACATGGCGCTATGTGTGATATGGTGATCTTTCTCTGGGTAACTTGATGGCCTGGATCTGGATGTGTACTTGATTAGTGTGGTGTGTGTACTTTGGTGATTGTTGAGCCTGGGATGTAGAAAAGGATGGGGCGTGGGAGGCTATAAATAGAGGCGACCGGTGCATTGCCGCGAGCAGTGCACTGCCTGATACGGACGTTACGTCTCGATGGCGAGAGCGCACCGGGCATGACCCCGCCGTGTTTATTCACTCTGGGCGAGACCATATACATGATGTTGGACAGTGGATACTCTGCGTAGGAGGAGACCATACATGCATCTATAAGATATACAGTAGTCATACTTCTAGTACTAGCTAGTAGGAGTGTGTACGCGTAGGCCCAAGCTTAGCCATTAAGATACGTATGTGCTCTCTACGCAGATACACGCCTATCAAATGGGTTGCTCATCCGCAAAAAAAGAAAAGAAAAAAGGTTGCTATCAAGTTTCGGCCGGAATCTTGAGTATATTGGTGACGGCGACCCCTCGATTTTCCGTTACGTGCACGCATGCATGAACCTAACTACTCCTACGAACGTTCTTCGATTCTTCTACGGATGCGAGGTGCAATTTGATGCACACGAGCGCGTATATATGGTCGGGGTATGTAGACGAAGCAGAAATAGCTTTGTGTGGGTATGATGTGATCCATGACACTGGTAGAAAAAGAGGCTTCCGTCCAGCCCCATTGTGTGGGTATGATGTGATCCATGAGCAACGGCCGACGTGCGGCCGACCGACGGGAATCATGCCATACACGCATATTCGCTGTCTGTCCGATCATTCACAAATACTCAGTATACACTTATACGTATATAGATATAGTATCCTCTGTTTCTACATATAAGATCGTCCCGTTGGTTCGGTTTAAGCTGCCAAAACATAAATTTCTCCAAAACGACGATTGCCACCCTAAACTTGGACGACGATACTGCTAACGACGCCGCCCTTGCCATGAGTTGCTCTCGCGCCTCCTTTCCCCAAACCAACCTCGGGCTCCCTCTCTCCCCTACGAAACCTCCCTCCAATGCTTTCGACCCCATCCTAGAACGCTCCCGCAAACTGCTGTCTAGCTGGCGTGCTAGGTTACTCGACAAAGGTGACCGCCTCATTCTAATCTCCGCAGTCCTTGATTCCATCCTTACCTATTTCATGTCGGTCTTTCGCCTCCCCAAAAAACTCTTAAAAAACATCAACTCCATCCGTAGAGCCTTCTTCTGGGCAGGAGAAGATTCAGTTTCAGGCGCTTAATGCCTTGTTGCATGGAAAAATGTTTGCACTCCAAAAAAATTTGGTGGGTTAGGGCTCAAAAACTTGCATCTCTAGAATAATTGTCTGCTCATGAAATTTGCAGCCAAGGCATTCACCTCCTCCTCCTCCCCTTGAATGAAATGGTTGGACCTTCAACACCCAATACTGGTGTAATTTCCTTCGCAAAGGAATCCAGATTTCACAAGAGAACTAAGCACATCAAGAGACGCTTCAATTTTATCCGGGATCAAGTCTAGATGGGAGACACAGAGATTTGCAAGATACATACGGATCTGAATGTTGCAGACCCGTTGACTAAGCCTCTTCCACGAACAAAACATGATCAGCACCAAGACTCCATGGGTGTTAGAATCATTACTGTGTAATCTAGATTATTGACTCTAGTGCAAGTGGGAGACTGAAGGAAATATGCCTTAGCTAGAGGCAATAATAAAGATATTATTTATTTCCTCATATCATGATAAATGTTTATTATTCATGCTACAATTGTATTAACTGGAAACATAATACATGTGTGAATACATAGACAAACATAGTGTCACTAGTATGCCTCTACTTGACTAGCTCGTTGATCAAAGATGGTTGAGTTTCCTAGCCATAGACATGAGTTGTCATTTGATTAACGGGCTCACATCATTAGGAGAATAAAGTGATTGACATGATGATACGTCTCCGTCGTATCTACTTTTCCAAACACTTTTGCCCTTGTTTTGGACTCTAACTTGCATGATTTGAATGGAACTAACCCGGACTGACGCTGTTTTCAGCAGAATTGCTATGGTGTTATTTATGTGCAGAAACAAAAGTTCCCGGAATGACCTGAAACTTCACAAAACATCTATTCGGAAATAATAAAAAATCCTTGTAAAAGATGAAGACCAGGGGGCCCACCACCTGTCCACGAAGGTGGGGAGCGCGCCCACCTACCTCGTGGGCCCCCTGGAGCTCCTCCGACCTCAACTCCAACTTTATATATTTGATTTCGGGGAGAAAAAAATCAGAGAGAAGGATTCATCGCGTTTTACGATATGGAGCCGCCGCCAAGCCCTAAAACCTCTCGGGAGGGCTGATCTGGAGTCCGTTCGGGGCTCCAGAGAGGGGAATCCGTCGCCATCGTCATCATCAACCATCCTCCATCACCAATTTCATGATGCTCACCGCCGTACGTGAGTAATTCCATCGTAGGCTTGCTGGACAGTGATGGGTTGGATGAGATCTATCATGTAATCGAGTTAGTTTTGTTAGGGTTTGATCCCTAGTATCCACTATGTTCTGAGATTGATGTTGCTATGACTTTGCTATGCTTATGCTTGTCACTAGGGCCCGAGTGCTATGATTTCAGATCTGAACCTATTATGTTTTCATCAATATATGAGAGTTCTTGATCCTATCTTGCAAGTCTATAGTCACCCATTATGTGTTATATGATCCGTTAACCCCGAAGTGACAATAATCGGGATACTTACCGGTGATGACCGTAGTTTGAGGAGTTCATGTATTCACTATGTGCTAATGCTTTGTTCCAGTACTCTATTAAAAGGAGGCCTTAATATCCCTTAATTTCCACTAGGACCCCGCTGCCACGGGAGGGTAGGACAAAAGATGCCATGCAAGTTTTTTCCATAAGCACGTATGACTATATTCGGAATACATGCCTACATTACATTGATGAATTGGAGTGTGTCACCCTATGTTATGATTGTTACATGATGAACCGCATCCGGCATAATTCTCCATCACTGATCCATTGCCTACGAGCTTTCCATATATTGTTCTTCGCTTATTTACTTTCCCGTTGCTATTGCTATCATCATTACAAAATACCGAAAACATTACTTTTGCTACTGTTACCTTTTGCTACCGTTACCACTACTATCATATTACTTTGCTACTAAATACTTTGCAACAGATATTAAGTTTCAGGTGTGGTTGAATTGAAAACTCAGCTGCTAATACTTGAGAATATTCTTTGGCTCCCCTTGTGTCGAATCAATAAATTTGGGTTGAATACTCTACCCTCGAAAACGGTTGCGATCCTCTATACTTGTGGGTTATCAAGACTATTTTCTGGCGCCGTTGCCGGGGAGCATAGCTCTATTCATATAGTCACTTGGGATTTATATCTGCTTATCATTATGAAGAACTTGAGAGATCCAAAAACCAAGATTTATCCCTCAACTACGAGGGGAGGTAAGGAACTGCCATCTAGCTCTGCACTTGATTCACCTTCTGTTTTCAGTAAGCTTGTGACACCTAAACCTGCTTCTACTATTCATTCTGATTTGTCGCATGTTATTGATGATGCCACTTCTGCTATGCATGATACTTATGATGAAACTACTTCTATGCTTGATACTACTGTGCCACTTGGTGAATTTCTTGATGAACAACTTGCTAGGGTTAGAGAGAATGAAAATATTGAATATGATAATTAGGATGAAAGTGATGATGAAGACTCTTCCCCTAATAAATATGAATCACCTGTTATTCCTGAGGGTTATGTTTTTGAAAAAGAAGCTGCTTTAGCTATTTTAGCTTGCAAAGATAGATACGAACTTAAGAGGTTATTAGCTAAATGGAAGCAGCAATCTCTTAACGCTAGAATGAAACATGGCCCTGCTTTTGCTACTTCACCTAGCTGTGTTACTGATAAGGATTATGAATTCCCTGTTGATCCTGATATAATTACTTTGGTTGAATCTGATCCTTTTCATGGCTATGAATCTGAAACTGTTGTGGCACATCTTACTAAATTAAATGATATAGCCACCCTGTTCACTAATGATGAGAGAACTCGCTACTTTTATATCCTTAAAATATTTCCGTTCTCATTAAAGGGTGATGCTAAGATATGGTTTAATTCTCTTGATCCTGGTTGTGTGCATAGTCCCCAGGATATGATTTATTAAATCTCTGCTAAATATTTCCCTGCTCATAAGAAACAAGCTACATTGAGGGATATATATAATTTTGTGCAAATTGAAGAAGAGAGTCTCCCACAAGCTTGGGGGAGGCTTCTCAAGTTACTTAATGATTTGCCTGATCCTCCTCTTAAGAAAAATGAAATACTTGATATCTTTTATAATGGACTAACTGATGCTTCCAGAGATTACCTGGATAGTTGTGTTGGTTCTGTTTTCAGGGAAAGAACACCGGATGAAGCTGAAATTCTATTGAATAATATGTTGACAAATGAAAATAATTGGACACTTCCTGAGCCTATCCTAAACCAACTCCGAAGAAGAGATGTGTTCTATTTCTCAGTCCTGAAGATATGCAAGAGGCAAAGAAATCTATGAAATAAAAATGTATTAAAGTTGAAGATGTTAAGAATGTACCTCCTATTGAAGAAATACACGGTCTTAATTTACCGCATGTTGAAGAAACATATGACCTTAATCCATCTCCTATTAAAGAAATACATGGTCTTGATAACCCGACACATGTAGTAAAGGTAAATTCTCTCTATAGATATGATAAAGCTGAAATCCCATTTACTAAATTTGCTAGCCCATGCTTAGATGAGTTTGATAAATTTATGGCTAAGAAAGAAGATTTTAATGCTTATTTTGGTAGACAATTAAAATACAATTCAAATATGCTTGAACACTTGGGTGATTATATGGCTAATGTTAAAGGTGAACTTAAACTTATTAGTAAACATGCTTCTATTGTTACCACTCAAGTAGAACAAG